GCCCAGGAGGGCTCCGAGACTGCCCAAGAGAGCCCCAAGACGGCCAACAGGGGCCCCAGAGGGTCCCACGAGGCCCCAAAGGAGCTCCAAGAGGGCCATAGGAGGCCCGCTGGACGGCCGAAGAGGGCCCCCCGAGGGCTCCAAGACAGCCCCAGCCCCCCAGGACTGCCCAAGAGGGCCCCAGGACAGCCCAGGAGGGCCCACAGCCAGCCCAAAAGAGCCCAAAAAGGACCCCCAAGAAAGCCTAAGAGGCCCCAGAGTTTCCAGAATGCTTCCAAAAGACTCCCAGGAAGCTTCCCAAGGCTCCAAGAGGCCCCCGAGTCACGATTCACCTCAGGGCTTCAAGATGCCCCACAAACAAACGCCGCCAGGCCCCGAGAAGCACTACAAAAGCCCCGGACTCACGATCCAGGTCAGGGGTGTGCCGGCATGGGCGAGGCGGCGGGATGCGAACCTTGGCTCTGGGGCCGTCCGTGCAACTCCTTGTGGGGTACGACCCGTGTGAGGAGACAGTCGACATACGCGGGGGGACGTGACGTTACGCGAATCTTCTGACTATGGCCGCACGTGAACGACATGCCTCTGGGACACGATCCGTGTGATGGGTGTGCCGAGACGGGCGGAACGACGCCGTGCAATTTTTGACACTGGACCCGAAAGTGGAGCTCCCGAGGGAACGCTATGTGAATCCTGCCTTCCTACGGGGCCGTAGAATCATCGCTTGCACTTTTTCTCAGCCTTCCCACCGCCCACTTCTCCTCCCCTCCTCCCCCTCCTCCTTCCCCTCCTCCTCCTCCTCCTCCTCCTCCTCCTCCTCCTCCTCCTCATCCTCCTTCACTCCTCCCCTTCCTCCTCCTCCTCCTCTTCCTCCTCCTCCTCCTCCTCCTCCTCCTCCTCCCTCCTCCCTCCTCCTCCTCCTCCTCCTCCTCCTGCCCTGCTCCTCCTCCTCCTCCTCCTCCTCCTCTCTCCTCCTCCTCCCCCCTCCTCCTCTCCTCCTCCTCCGCCTCCTCCTCCTCCTCCTCCTCCTCCTCCTCCTCCATTCCTTCCCCTTAGAGATAACTTCGTCCTGTCGCACCCAGAGGGCAGTGTTTAGGGCGGTCCGGGCGTGTCGCCTGATACTTCCTCACCACTTATGATTCTGAAGCACAAAAAAGTGGCAACAGCTTCACAGATGGAGGGCGGGTCGCTTTTAATATGTGGCTCTCGCCTTAGTGCCGCGCATATCCGTTTAAAGGTTTGCAAGGGTTTCACGGATTGAGGGCGGGTGGTTTTCAAAATGTGGTTCTCGCCTTAGCGCCACGCACATCCGTTTTAACATTTGCAAGAGCTTCACGGATTGAGGGCGGGTGGTTTCACAATGTGGATCTCGCCTGAGCGCCGCGCGCATTCGTTTAAAAGTGTTGCAAGGGTTTCACGGATTGAGGGCGGATCGTTTTCAAAATGTGGTTCTCGCTTTAGCGCCGCGCACACTCCTCTTAATAAAGTGCAAGAGTTTAATGGGTTGAGGGCAGGTCGTTTTCGAAATGTGGCTCTCGCCTTGGCACCGCGCACATCGGTTTAAACAACTGCAAGAGTTTCACGGATTGAGGGCGGGTCGTTTTCAAAATGTGGATTTCGCTTGAGCGCCGCGCACATTCGTTTTAAACATTTGCAAGGGTTTCACAGCTTCCCGCGATCAGCGTACCAGAATTTTGTTTGGAAGGATTCAGGATTATGTGGGCGCAACAGTTATGTTGGTTCGCGGTGTTGAAGTCCCAAAGATGGCGTTCTGGCACGGTTCTGGATCGTCAAGACGCACCAGACAGGTTGATACGTGGCGTTGAAATCCCGAGAGCAATGTTTTGGCACGCTTCAGGATCTTCAAACAATTGTTTTCCAACGAGGCAGTTCCCTCAATGGAAATGAACCGTTGTAGGGGCCTGCGAAGAAGGAGCTTGGAGGGAGGGTTCATTCCAACATAGTCGATGATTATTGGGTTTACACTGGTCCTCATCCTCCTCCTTCTCCTCCTCCTCCTCTTTCATCTCCTCCTTCACTTCGCTCGCGCGGGTTGTAATACTTTGGCAATGGTGCTCTCGCCCATCCGTGGCCGCAACCTGATCCAAGATTGGCGCAGCCACCCCAGCACTGACCACACTCTCCAATACAAACAGTACTGTCGCCTCAGAGCCGGCCACAGCCCTCATTGCAGATGATGTTGCCGGTCGCGCACAAGCCCAAATCTTGGATGGGATTGGCGCTCTCGCCCGAGCGTTGGCCACACCCCTGTCTGGGAGTCATGATGCCGTCTGCACGCTGGCCAAATCCTTCATGGAACGCGGTACTCATTTCGCAGCGCCAGCCACGCACCTCATTGACTACTGTGATGCCGCTCCACTCGCACGGTTCCCACAGCCCTAATGGGAGAATGGTGTTCCGCCCAAGCGCCAGCCACATCCATTTCCAAGATTTGTGCTACCGCCCCAGCGCCGGCCGCACCCGTGTGTGAGACTGGTACTCTCGTTTGAGCCTCGGCTACATCTGTCTGTTGCGAGCGCCACCTCCCGCGGGAGACAACTGGCGACCGCAGCTGCCGTCCCTTCGTGCTGGGCGAGTGCCGAACCTGGCGTTCGGTTTGGACAGAACACGTCGGGTCTGTTGCCAATCGGGGCTGCGCCAGGTTAGCCCCCCCAACGTCAGGTTCGGACATGTGTCGTAGCAACACTGCGGCTACATCAATCTGCTAACCGCAGAGTCACTAAACATGTAGGTGCAAGGATCAAGATCAGAAGGCGAAGCGCAGCGAGCCTTCAAATCTTGTATATCGAAGACGCCTACGGCGAATCACCGCCGCCCCCTGCCTTTTTGGAAGCGCCTATGTGGCCGAACATTGAGGCCAGACTTGCCAAGCTATCGGACCATGTGTTCCCCGAATCGGTTTGGAAAGCCTTCGGGGAACACGTGGACATCTTGAAGGTCATCTTGGCCGCCCGGAAGCCATTTTGACCCTTTCGGGCCTTCTTGGAGGACGTCTTGGAGGGCTCTTGGGCCGTCTTGGAGGCCATCTTGAGCGTCTCGGAGGCCTCTTCGGCCGTCTTGGGGGCCTCTTGGGGCCGTCTTGGACCTCTTGGGCGATCTTTGGGGGCACTTGGACCGTCTCGGGCCGTTGGAAGGCCGGAAACAAGCAAATGCCACGATCCTTCAAAAACTCATGGGAAATCAATGGTTTGGGCCTTGCCGGGCTTTCCTGGAGGCCCTCTTGGAGGCCTCTTGGGCCGTCTTGGGCCATCTTAGTGCCATCTTCGGCCGTCTTGGTGGGCCCCTGTCCCGTCCGACGCCGTCGGAAGCCGTTGGGGGGCCTCTCTGAGCCGACTTGGGGCCCTCTTGGAATGCTCCAGGGCCGTCTTGGAGGCTATCTTGGGCGTCTTAAAAGCCTCCTGGGCCGTCTTGGTGGCCTCTTGGGGCCGTCTTGGGGGCCGCTTGGCCCGTTCTGGGGCCATCTTGGAGGCCTCTTGGGCGATCCTCGGGCGATCTTTGGGGGCTCTTGGGCAGTATCGGGCCGTCGGAAGGCCGAAACGAAGCAAATGTCAAAATCCTTCGGAAACCTTTGGAACATCATTGTTTTTTGCCTTGTCTGGCCTTCCTGGAGGCCCTCTTGGAGGCATCTTGGGCCGTCTTGGGCCAGCTTCGAACCAACTTCGGCCATCTTGGTAAGCTCCTGGCCCGTCTGACGCCGTCGGAAGCTGTTTGGGGGGCCTTTCTGGGCCGACTTGGGGCCCTCTTGGGGTGCTCCAGGGCCGTCTCAGAGGCCATCTTGGGCGTCTTAAAAGCCTCCTGGGCCGTCTTTGTGCCCTCTTGGGGGGGGCCGCTTGGGCAGTCCTGAGGCCTTTTTGGAAGCCACTTGGGCGCTGTGGGGGCGATCTTGGGGGCCTCTTGGGCCGTCTTGGGTCGTCGGAAAGCCGAGAAGAAGCAAATGCCAAAATCTTTCAAACACCTAAGGAAAATCAAGGATTTGGGCCTCTTCGGGCCATCCTGGAGGCCCTCTTGGAGGCCTCTTGGGCCGTCTTGGAGGTCTCTGGGGGGCCTCTTGGGCCGTCTTCGGCCGTCTTGGACTGTCTTGGGCCGTATGGGAGGCTGTCTTGGACCATCTTAAGCGGACTTGGAGGCCATCGTGGACCGTCTTGGAGGCCATCTTGGGCCAACGTGGCCATCTTGGAGGCCATCTTGGGCCATCTTGAGCGAAACATTTGGGAATTGTGCTCCTTTCCGGGTGGCCGGCGGGACGGGCCGAAGCCCCAGGGGGAGTTCTTTTAGAAAAAGAACCGAAACCAAAACCGAAATAATCTAGCACGCCAGGCACCCCTGCGATGAATCGACAGGGGGCGGCGGATATCTTTTTAGAGTAGCTTTCGGCCCTTCCCGCCACCATGCCTGGGTTGTGGGTTTTGAGCCTGTCGGGTGTTCCTTGGGATCTCGTGGGAGTCCTCTCGGGGGTCTCTTGGAGGCAGTTTGGAGGCCTCGTGGGGGCCGTTTGGGGGCCTCTTAGTACCTCATTTGGGCCTCTTGGGGCCTCTTAGGGGGCGTCTTGGGGCCTGATGGGCGCCTCTTGGGGCCTCCTGGGGGCCTGTTCGGGCGGAAAGCTCGGATTTTCAGTTCATGTTCCCTTTCTTGGGCCCTTTCTATGGCCGTCTTGGTGCTCTCTTGGGCCGGTGGGGGCGCTTCTTGGGCCGTCTTGGGATGCTCTTAGGCCGTCTTAGGGGCCCTCTTGGAGGCCTCTTAGGCCGTTCTCGGGTAGTCTTAGGGGCCTCTTGGGCCGGCCGTCTTGGAGGAGGAGGAGGAGGAGGAGGAGGAGCAGGAGCAGGAGTTGGAGTTGGAGTTGGAGGAGGAGGAGGAGGAGGAGGAGGAGGAGGAGGAGGAGGAGGAGTTAGAGGGAGGAGGAGGAGGAGGAGGAGGAGGAGGAGGAGGAGGAGGAGGAGGAGGAGGAGGAGGAGGAGGAGGAGGAGGAGGGAGGGGGAGGGCAGGTGGACGAGAGCGGCAACCGCAAGACGGACGTGAAGCAGGAGAGCCAGGGAGGGGGGGCGCCGCGGCCCCCCGGCGGGAGCGGGTCGCTGGCCGGACCTTCGGGAGGGCTCCGCGGGGGCCCGCAGCCATCCCAGGATGTGTTTTTTCAAGCCGGCGGTCCTCCAGACTCAAGTCGGGCCTGTCCCCCTACAGGGGGATTGTCGACGAAAAAAATACCCCACAAATAGTCCAAAAATAATCCAAAAATAGTCCGGGAACTATTTTTGGACTATTTTTTGCCTTTCTGGCATTTTGGGGGTATTTTGCATTCTTCGTCGAAAATCCCCCTGTAGGAGGACACGCCCGACATGACTCCAGGGCCCGTCGTCGGGCCTGGGCACCATCAAGAATGGATCCGGGACGAAAAGCCAAGCCCGGGGAAGGGGTCGGGGTCTCTGGGGCCGCGGATGGAGATGGCCACATCGACGGATGTCTGGGTCTACGCGAGGACCAGCATCCCCAGACCCCTGACGTCAGGGTGTTGTTCCCCACGTCGACCCCCAGAGGTCTCGACCCATTCCCCGGGACCGGTGTTTCATTCTGAGTCGTTGTTTGAGGGTCCTGAGGCCCAGTAGGGGCCTCCCGAGGCAGAAATTAGCGAAAAACTTCCCGTCGCGATTGTTTCATGACCCGAGGGGGTCTGGGTGGCCATGGGCCTGCCAAGTCGATCGACGAGATGCCAGTGGCCTTTCTGTTGTTCGGTTATCGAGAGGGTGCGGCACCCGCGGTCGTCGCGGGCCCTGCGCCCTTCGCAGGTCTGGCCCTGGGTCGTGTTCACCAGGGGGCGGCTTGCCAAGAGGGGACCTGTCCATCCCCGACTCCTGGGCATCGCTCGGACGTGTGCACTTTTTCCCCGGCGGGGACCATCGAGGAGCATCCTGCATCATCGGGGGCGCGGGGGGGGGGGGATCACGCACGAAATCGAAGCCTGCACGGAGAAAGGACGTCCGAGAGATGGCAAGATTGGAAACCTCGGGACCCCGCTCCCAGTTTTACCAGTGCGACCTGGACTCGCTGCGGTACAGTCGGACAGAGGTATAAGATCGAGGTCGATTCGGGGAGGGTGCCCTCACGTGTTTGTTGGATGTTCTTGTGCATCCTGGGGAGGGTAGCTTTGGATGTTCTGTTTCTTTTGGCCGACGGAGGGTCTCATGTTCTTGAGGGACGTTCTTCTGGCCCAGGTCCGACTTCAGAACCCCGGGAACGCATTCCCAGGGTTTCCCCCAAGGGATCCGGGGATCACCGCTGGAATCCCTGGAAGTCGACCCCTCCCCATGGCCCCCGCAGATCTCCGGGGAGGAGGCGAGAAGGTTCTCCGGAGGATCCTCGGAGCTGTCTGCTGTGGTCTTCGCAGGGCTTCGGGCGTCTTCGTGTATGCGTTCGAGGTTTCCCGTAGCCTTTCTGGAGGCGTGCCAGGGACGGGCGGGGGGGGAGGCAAAGGCCGCACCTGGAATGAGTCCAGGTCTTCCCCCGAAGGAGGCCAAAAAAGCATAGTTGTCATGTTTCTTACCGTCGAACTCCAGATGGATCACGACGGCACCCAAGGTCTCCAGACGGGCACTGCTTTTGCTGTCTGATCGTCGGAGAAGATAAATCGCACCACGTTTGCCGTCTCTTGGTCTGTGTGGCGACATCAGGTTTCACCGGCTCCTACGACCATACTGGCATGGCGATTCTTGGCATGGCACTCTTGGAGCCCAGCCCGAAGGGGGAGTGGAGCAGCTGTGAAACGAGCTAGCATTGGTGATCTGCTGAATGACTATCTACTTCGTTGTCCTGCCGCGCTTGCTGATGATCATGTGGGCGTACCAGTCTAACCGCTGATGTTCGTACGATTCGCCTCCCACGTCGCCGACTGTTCCCAGATGAGGTGTTGATCCTCCACTGGTGGTGACCCTCCAGACTCTGAGGCGCGCCGGCAGCGCTGCATTCTCGATGGCTGCACTTCTCTCCTCCTCCTCCTCCTCCTCCTCCTCCTCCTCTCCTCCTCCTCCTCCTCCTCTCCTCCTCCTCCTCTCCTCCTCTCCTCCTCCTCCCTCCTCCTCCTCCTCCTCTCCAGGCCCACTGCACATGTCCCTTGTCTTCCGCACTGCCGCGTCTCGCGCTTGGCGCCGTCCGCCGTCCTCGCGGTTCTCTGCGCTGCTGGGCTGCCCGGGGCTCAGGCCCAAGCCTCCCCTCGTTGGGGAGGGGGGCGGCGGCTGCTCGTGGACCCCCCTGTGGTCATCGGGGTGAGAGCCTTCAGCATGACGGCGCGCAGACTGCTGCAATGCCGAGCCTGACCGACCTTCTCCCTCGCTCCCTCCATCGACCTTCCTCCACCCCTTCTCGAACTCCTGTCCGCCCCAACACCTACGCTCTTCTCAACCCTGCTGACGTTCATCCTCCTCCTCCCCCTCCCCAAGCATCCCCCTCATTCTCGTCCTCCTCTCTCTCTTCATCCTCCTCCGCCTCCTCCTCCTCCTCCTCCACCTCCTCCTCCTCCTCCGCCTCATCATCATCATCATCATCATCATCATCATCATCATCATCATCATCATCATCATCATCATCATCATCATCATCATCAGCAGCAGCAGCAGCAGCATCATCGGCATCATCATCATAATCATCATCATCATCGTCAGTATCATCAGCAGCAGCAGCGTAATCATAATCAGCATCATCATCGACATCGGCATCAGCATCATCATCATTAGCAGTATCGGTGTCATCATCATCATCATCATCATCATCATCATCAGCATCATCATCGTCATCATCGTTATCATCATCATCAGCAGCATCATCATCAGCATCATCAGCATGATCATCATCATAATCAGCATCGTCAGCAGCATCGTCATCGTCATCGTCATCGTTATCATCATCGTCACCATCATCGTCATCATCATCAGCATCAGCATCAGCATCATAATGTTCATCATCCTCATCATCAGCAGCAGCATCAGCAGCATCAGCATCATCATCCCCCGTCGCCCCGTCATCCTAATCCTCGTCTTCCCATCATCCTCGTCCTCTTCTTTCTCCTCCACACTCCCGCCCCTCCAACAGAGTCCTCCACCCTCGACGACGGCGAGCAGCGGCGGCCGCGGCGCCATCGCTGCCTCTCGCCGTCGCCGCCGCCGCCGTCGTCCTCGTCTTCCTCGTCCTCGCCCTCGTCGCCCTCGTCGTCCTCGTCGCCGTCCTCGCCCTCGTCGGCGTCCTCGTCGCCCTCCTCGCCGTCGGCGGCGTCCTCGTCCTCGCCCTCGTCGCCCTCGTCGCCGTCCTCGCCCTCGTCGGCGTCGTCGTCGCCCTCGTCGCCGTCGGCGCCCTCCTCCTCGCCCTCGCCCCCGAGCTCGCACCTCGTCGTCACCGCCCGCCCTCGCCCTCGCCGCCCCCGCCCCCGCGCGGGGGGGGGGGCCGCAGGACCAGAGCGTGCGCACCAACATCCCGGGCCTCCGGGGCGGCGACAGGCGCCGCCCCGCCCCCCCGGCGGGCCCCGCGCGCCGCCGTCCGCCCCCCGCGCCCCTCGGGGAGCAGACGACGACGCCTGGCGGCGAGCGCGCGGATCGGCGGCGCGCGGGGTTCGAGGCGTTCGAGCTTCGAGGTTCGAGCTCCGAGCGTCGAGCTTCGAGGTGTGCGGGAACTGTCCTGGGTTTCCGGCGGTGTGCTGGCCTCGGGATGCTTGCCAGCAGGTGCGCCTCGCCGAGGGTCTTCCGGGGTCTTCGGGCGCTTTCGTGAGTTCCCGGCGGTCGTCTGGCCTCGGGATGCCTGTCAGCAGGTGCCCATCGCCGAGGGCGTTCCGGGGGTGTTCGGATCGTCCCGAACGGCCGCCTGAGACTCGAGTTACGACCCAAAAACCAGATTCGGCGGCGCGCCAGGGGGGAACTGCGAGAAGGGGCGAGCCTTCTCAGAAGGCTCGGAAGGCAGCGGGCCTCCCGAGAAGTGTTGGAAGCCTTCCCCGAAGGCACAGGGAATTCCTCAGAAGGCGCAAGGGCTCCTGAGAAGTCCGGCCGCCTTCTGAGAAGGCCTTCTCCTTCTAAGTTCCCCCCTTCTCGCTCGCCTCCGAGACACGTAAACTTTCGGAGGTCCGCGCGGGTTTCTCGGATCGGCGCTGAACCCCCGCCTTGGCGCGCGGAGCGCGCCAGGGGCAGCTCGGGAGGCGCCCCTAGGGGGCTTCAGCGCCGATCTGAGAAAGCCGCGCGGACTTCCGAGATCTTATGACTATGCCATTGCGTGTTCTCCGAGCCCTCCTCCTCCTCGCGCGCGCGCTTCGGCTGTGGCGCCCCTCGACGCAAGAGGAGGAGGACCCCGGCATGCTCGCGTCGGAAGGTTTGTCGACGTTTTCGGCCTCCGGGGCCTTCGCCAGGCCCGGGGAAACAAGCAAAAGTTCGGGATGAAGAAAAATTGGGCCTGATGATCGGGCTGTGACGTCGGAGAGCCTTACTGAACAAAGGGAGACATCGGATGTCCGGGGAAGGAGGCGGCTGCTTCTGAACGTCGACATGGATGCCTCCCCGTTCTTGGGATTGCATGCCTGCGAGCGAGTGCCCCCCGAGCCATGCAAGAAAGAGTGGGACGGCAAACGCGGGCAAACAAGTGAGGAGGCGGAGGAGGAGGGAGGAGGGAGGAAGGGCGGCAAACGCTGCAACGCGGGAGGGAAGGAGGAGGGAGGGAGGAGGCAGGGATGAGGGAGGATCGAGGAGCGAAGAGGGAGGAGTGGGGGGGGGGCGGCTGGCCTTCAGGCACCGCGCTGCTGCAGGCGCTTCCCCCGCTGAGCACTGCGCAGCAAGCCCCGCCTCGTGCGAGGGCCTGCGCGACCGCACGCACCCAAACCCCCTGGGCGTTTCGGCAACCATCACGACGGAGGGTTCGGGATTCTTGTCTGCATCCACCGACGAAGACAGAGCTGCATAAACATAAACTTTGGGAGGTCCGCGCGGACTTCTTGGACCGTCGCTGGCCCCCCTTGGCGGCGCCTCTGGCGCCGCTCCTGTCGCGCTCCGCGCGCCAGGGAGGGGGTCTCAGCGAAGGTCCAAGATGTCCGCGCGGCCCTCAGGCAGTTTATGCTTATGCAGCTCGTCAGGCCAGCCACAACTGGGGGAGCTGTGGTCCTTACCCCCCTGGGGGACCCATCGATTTCGACACCCCTCTCGAGAGAGCGTCGATGCGATGGGTTCCCCCAGGGGGCTAAGGACCACAGCTTCCCCAGTTATGGCTGGTCGGCTTGTGGCTCCTCTGCTCCTCCAGGGGCCCTTTTCGGGGCCCCGGGGACAGCCGAAAAGACGAGTTGGAATGACGGGCCGGCCACGGGGACGGGGTCCCCGGCTCCAGAGTCGTGCCCCTCCTCCGGTGGGGACGGCGGCCTCTGCGCTCTGGCCTCCGGCTCCGGCGCTACACGAACGATTATCGCCGCTCGCTGGGCAGTCGCGGGGGATGGGGAGACGGAGGAGAGGGAAGGGGGGCGTGCTGCGTGGCCGTGTGTGTGTGTGTGTGCGCGGGTGTGCGTGAGTGTGTGAGTGTGATTGTGAGCTTGACTGTGAGTGTGAATGCGAATGCGGATGTGAATGTGGACGTGAATGTGAATGTGAATATGCGTTTGTGTGTGCGTGCGTGCGTGCGTGGGTGCGTTCGTGTGTCTGCGTGTGTGTGTGTGCGTGTGTATGTGCGTGTGTGCGTGTGTGTGTGAGTGTGTGCCTGTTTGCGTGTGTGTGCGTGTGTGCGTGTAATTATGTGTGTGGTGTGTGTATGTGTTTGGTGGTGCGTGTGTGTGTGTGTGCCTGTGTGTGTTTGTGTTTGTGTCTTCGAGAGCACGACGGTGAGCAGCATAGCGGAGCAGCACGTCTGTTAAGCACGACGTGTTGCAGCAGTACGACGCTCAGCAGCAAGACAGTTCGCCAGCAGCGCCGCGCGCGAAGCCCCAGCAACACGATGGTGCTTCGCCACGCCGATGTCCATCACGACGGAGCCGCTATCCAGTAGCACTACACCAGCCAAGGCTATGGAATCAGGCGCTGTCATGTTGTCGTCCGCGACGGAGTTGACCACCGCGTCATTATCGGGCAATGCCACGGCACCCGCCTCGGCGCCGTGCATCAAAGCGTTCTCCAGCACTGCGGAAGCGAGCGCTGCTACAGTGATCTTGTCGACGGAATCGAGCACCACGTCAGTTGCTGGCACTCAGGAGGAGGCGAGCATTACCACAACACCCACCACGACGGACCCGAGCATCACATCGATATCCATCCTTGTGGAAGCGAGTGCGTCCACGGTGAACCTCACGACGGCATAGATCACCACGTCGATGTCCAGCATCATGGCAGTGCCTGCTACTGCGGCATCCTCAGCGGACGCGCAGCTCCACGCGGAGCAGCTCCAGCTCCTCAGGCGACGCCGTGCATAAAGTAAGACGGATGCCAGCATCACGACTATGCGATGCACGGCGGGCTGCTGCACTACGGCGTGGTGGTGCGGCACGACAGGCTCCTGCAGCCCGACGCTGTAGCGCGACGGCGCCGACAGGTCGGAACAGCCCGTCGCTGAGCGGCACGACAGGTTGCAACACCCGCGACCGCGGCATCCACCATGCACCCGGCCCTTGACAGCGGCGAGCGGCGGCACCTCGATCGGGCAGCGCGGCGGGCTGCAGCAGCACACGCAGCGCAGCACGACTCTCTGAACAGCACAGCGGATTGCAGCAGTGCGCCGCTGAACAGTGAGGCCGGACGATAGGAGCCTGTCTACTTTCGCAGGCCTAAAGGTTGACACCAACACCAATATCGGCGGTGTGCCTCCACCGAGGGAAGAAGATCTCGATATCGGTGATGGTGGTAATATTCTGGCTTCCAAGGTGACCGAAATGTTACCACCAACACCGAAATCTAGGCTCATCTTCCCCCTGTGGAGGCAAACCTCTGTGTTGGTTTTGGTGCCCATTTCCAGGCCTCCAATATTTGGGCGGCTGGAGGCCGGGATTCTCGACGCCGTGCGATAGCGTCGCATTTCTGGCAGTGTGTGCAGGCGGGCACGACATGGCCTCAGATTGCACACGAGGCAGCTGCTGGTACATGATCTGGTACAGTGTTCTTCGGTACTGCGTCCTTCTGAGGGGGTGCCCGTTCTCCCACGTTTCTTGTGCATGCTCGACGTTCGATGCTTCACTAGCTTGCGTGTCTAGCAGGCTGGCGTCCCTGCCCGATTGAACCCCTCACTTGCCTGGGCTGTACAGGGCGCAACCGTCGCGGCTGTAGGCCTGTGTCTGCTCTTTCTGCTCTCGTGCACGCGGAGCCTGCTGGCTGTGAACGTGCTGTCCTCTCTCCCTCCTCTCTTCTCTTGCTTGTCTCCTGTTCCTCCTCCTCCTCTTCCTCCTCCTCTTCCTCCTCCTCCTAGCCCCTCGCTGCTCCAGCATGCAGCACATGGGGCCTAAGAGGGTTCTCACCGATAATGTACGGCTCCCTCTGTCATCCCTCCATCGAGGCCTCTGGCCAGTGACGGTTCTCACGGCGCTCACCTGCAACCCCTTGCCAGCAAATGGTGGTTAGTGTCACTTCGGCCGACCTTTCCTCTGTCCTCCTCTCCTCTTGCTTTGCTTCGCACAATTCAATCTCAGTGCACTGGTGGCTCCAGTGCCAGACACAGTATATCGTGTAATGTGCGGATCATAGGCAGCGGTTGTTTCGGCCCACGGGTATTCAAACTCACGGCTTGCCATCCGTAGCGGGGGCGGTTGCATGGTTTTGTTGGTTCCTTCTCGTCCCTCGTCCTCTTTGTTTCTCCTCATGGTTGTCGTCACACGAGCTGCTTTTGAACATGGCTTAACTGGCGCTGTGAGGCCAACTGGTGTACAGGTTCGTTGCGCTGGTTGCGAAGACAGGAAAGTGGTTGTGGTTGAGTTGTTGCTTGAGTGGTTGTGTGTGCGTGTGTGTATGTTTCTCCGCCCGGTCGTTGCGCGCATGGCCGCGACACAAAAAGTGCATGTGTGTTGTGTCTGTGTGTGAGTGCGTGGTTGCGTACGTTCATGCGTGCGTGCGTGTGCGTTTGTGTGTGTGTGGATGTGTGTGTACCCAGCTGCTTGCGGCAAACCCCGCAACCGTGTCTGTGCAACCGCGTTGCAGAAAGGAACTTGAGTGGAGGAACAGAGCACTTCCGACAAGTGGTATGATAAGGACGGGTCGTGAACTCGACCTCGTCTTCGTCCGCGCGGTAGGAAAGAGGTCGAGTCGACACCCCGCGGCAGTTCAGTGAGGGGTCTCAATTGGGGAGGGTGATCCCGACATCGTCTTCATCCGCGCGGTAGGAAGGAGGAGGAGGAGGAGGAGGAGGAGGAGGAGGAGGAGGAGGAGGAGGAGGAGGAGGAGGAGGAGGAGGAGGAGGAGGAGGAGAGGAGGAGGAGGAGGAGGAGGAGGAGGAGGAGGAGGAGGAGGAGGAGGAGGGGGAGGAGGAGAAGAATGCTTCTTGGACCCTCTTGGGGCCTCCTGGGGGCCTCTTGGGAACCTCCTGGGCGCCTCTTGAAGGCGTCTTGGGAACCTCATGGGGCTTATCGGGGGGGCTCTTGGGGGCCCCCTGAGCCGTCTTAGGGAAGCAATTGGCCCGTCTGACGCCTTCGGAGGCCGTCTTGGGGGCCTCTCTGGGCCGTGTTGGTTGGAGCGCTTTGGGGCCTTCTTCGAAGCCTTTTGGGCGCCTCTTGGGCGATGCTGGGGGCCCCCTGAGCCGTCTTAGGGAAGCAATTGGCCCGTCTGACGCCTTCGGAGGCCGTCTTGGGGGCCTCTCTGGGCCGTGTTGGTTGGAGCGCTTTGGGGCCTTCTTCGAAGCCTTTTGGGCGCCTCTTGGGCGATGCTGGGGTCCTCTCGGTCCGACTTGGGACCCACTTGGGGGGCATCGCGGGCTGTCTTGGAGCTATCTTGGAAGCATCTTGGGCCGTCCTGAATCTTCCACAAGCCGAAGAAAATAAATGGTGTTGGCATCGGGCCGTCAGGGGGCCTCTTAAGCTGCATTGAGGCTGTCTTGGGAGCCTCTCGAGCCGTCTTGCGCCAGCTGGAGCCGTTTTGGTGTCCTCTTGGCTGTCTGAGGCCATCCTGGAGGCCATCTTGGCTGTTTGAAGGCTGAACAGAGCGCCGGAAAGCAATTTCTGAGGGGCCGATTTCAGAGGCACGCGCTGGAATAGGGGGGAAGGCGTAGAAAACAGATGTAAAGCCATCGCAGACAACAAACGGGCATTCTAACACGCCCACTGGGCACAAGGCCCGGTGGTGGATATTTACTTATCTCGCGAAGCCAGCAGTAGCAGCGCACGGGGCAGTTTCCAGCGTCCGCCTTTGACCAAGGGAGAGGCGGAGGGGGGAGGAAGAGGAGGAGCAGTCTTAAGAGGTCTGCACGGTGCTCTTCCGTTTGCTGCTGCAGTGATTGTGGTGTTGTGGCGTCGTTCCTTGATAATTGTTAGCGCCCCGCACCCACATGTTATCCTACACATGACGCGGCGGTTAGGTTGTCGTTGCGTCCGCAGGGATCGGGCCGAACATACCTGGGCGGATGTAGACAAACATTTGGGGGAGGAGCAGCTGCGGGAGCAGCAGTGGCAGGAGGAGGGGGAGAAGCGGGAGAAGGTTCGGGCGCAAGAGGGTTAGGGAGGGAGGAGCAGAAGGAGAGAGGCCGAGGAAGGAGGGAGGAGGAGAAGTAGGGCGGCAAGAAGGGAGGAGGACAAGGATTCCCTCCCCCATCCTCTTGCTCCGCCTGGCGAAGCAGGTGGCCGAGGGAAGGAGAAAGATTAGGTCGTCGTCATGGTCGTCGTGGTCGTCATGGTCGTGGTCGTGGTCGTCGTCGGTAGTCTGTCGTCTGTCATCTGTCTCCGCCGTCATCGCCATCGCCGTCGTCACCCTCTGTCATCAAGAAAGAGGAGGATCATGGACAAAGAGGAGGAGGAGGAGGAGGAGGAGGAGGGAGAGGCGGAGAAGGAGGAGGAGGAGGAGGAGGAGGAGGAGGAGGGTTTGGAGGAGGAGGAGGAAGAGGAGGAGGAGGAGGACGAGGAGGAGGACGAGGAGGAGAAGGAGGACGATGAGGTCGAGGGGACGAGGAGGACGAGGAGGAGGGAGGAGGACGAGGAGGAGGAGAGGAGGAGGACGAGAGAGGACGAGGAGGACGAGGAGACGAGGAGGAGGAGGAGCAGGAAGAGGAGGAAGGAGGAGGAAGAGGAGGAGGAGGAGGAGGAGGAGGAGGGAAAGAGGAGTGAGGAGGAGGAGGAGGAGGAGGAGGCGGAGAAGGAGGAGGAGGAGGAGCCGCAGCAGGCGCAGCGGGCTGCCCCGCAAAAAGAAGCCCCCCCTCCCCGCGACGTGCTCGGCGGCCTGGGCCGCGCCCCCCCCCCCCCCCCCCTCGCGCGGCCGCCCGCCAGCAACACGCAGCGGCTGCTGTCCCCGGAGAGCACGCTCTTCGGGATGCTGGACCGCCTCTGAGCGCGCGGCCGCCCGACCGGTGCCACTGCCGCCGCCGCTCCGCGTGGCGATGCCGCACGCCGCCCGCCGACCGGCGCAGCTCCGCGCGCAGCGGCGCGCCGCCGCGCCCGCCCGCGCGGCGCACGGGCCGGTCGGCGCCCCCGCCGCGAGGCCGCGCGAGGGCGCCCGCGGTGCGCTGGCGGTTTTTCAGCGGCGCCCGCCGGCGCCGTTTTTTTCAAGGCCGCGCCCGCCGGCGCGCGCGCCGGCGGGCGCGCCGCTCGCCGCTGGCCGGCGGGCCGCGACAGACCCCGACCCGCGGCGGCGCGTGCCGCACCGCGCCGGCAGAGCGGCACGGCGGGAGCAGGCCTTCGGGCGGCCTTCGGGCGGCGGGCGGCGGCCCTCGGCGGCCCTCCCTCCCTCCTCCTTGGCATCCTCCTCATCTTCCTACCTCCGCCTCCCCGTGCTGCCCCTTCCGTCCACAGACGGATTATCTTCATCCCTTCTTCCGACTCCTGCCTCCTCCTCCTCCTCCTCCTCCCTCCCCTCCTCCTCCTCCTCCTCCTCCTCCCTCCTCCTCCTCCTCCTCCTCCTCCTCCCTCCCTCCCCCTCCTCCTCCCTCCTCCTCCTCCTCCGCCGCCAGCTTTGCTTCCCCTGCTGCTGCTCCTCCTCCGCCTGCACGCGGGGCGCAGAGCCGACGCTCCACCGCGCCGCTTCGCCGCCGAAGGCCCCGCCGCCCGTCGCGGCCGGGCGCGGGCGCCTCGGGCCGAGCGCCGGGACCGCCGCCGCCATCAGGGGCAACGAGAGGGGGTGCGGGGATGCGGTCAGGAACGTTTGCTCAGCGGGTGTCGGCCACGCGCAGAGAGGGGCAGCGGGAGGGGGGGGGGGGGGGGGGGAGGGGGGGGGGGGGGGGGAAGACTTCTTAGAAGCACCCCTGCTTCTTAGAAAGCGCGGGCCGCGGGCCTTCTCTACACTTGCAAGAGGCCAGCACCTAAGAAGCAGCCCCTTTTCTAAGAAGCTTTCCGCCCCCACCCCCAATACCCCTCTCTGCGCGCCGCAAGGGGTGGTGCCGCTGCGTCTGGCCTACCACGCTTCGTCTCCGTCCCCGGGCGTCAACGTCCCAGGCTTTTCTCGGCCTCGCGCCCCGTAGAGCGGAGCGACACGCCGTCAGGTCGCACGTCACAGCGTGTCGCCAGGCCCGCCGCCGCCGCCGCGACGCGAAGCAAAAGCTCCCGACCGTAGGCTCAGGGGGAGACTTTTCGTCGGTCCCTGACGGTCCCTGGTAGTTTTCTGACGCTTTCGGACGCCATTTTTTCTGACGTTTTCATGGGTCCCTTTTCGGACGTTTTCGTCGGTCCCTGGCAGTTTGTTTTGTTCGGACGCTTGTCTAGTCCCTTGGCATTTGTCTTCGGACGTCTTCGTCGGTCCCTGGCGGTTTTCCAGCCTCCGAGTGCTTTCCAGCAGCTGCACTCGCCGGGGCCGTTTCGGAGCTGCCTGGATCGCCCCTAACCGGCCGCCCAGAATTCGAGGGCCTGGCCCAAAACCAGACGTCGAAGATCACCGGGGGGAATAGACTCTCAGGGGGGACCGCATCGACCCCCGAGCCCCTAGCGCCCATCGAAGAAGAACAAACGTCATACACATCGAAGAAGAAAAAAGGGAATGGACTCTCAGGGGGGAAGAGACTCTCATGGAAGCCGAAAAAGCGGCATAAACATGATCTTCTGGCGCTCCGCGCGGATGTCTTGGAGCCGCGCTGTTCCCCCCCCCGCCCCCCCCCGGGCGGCGCCTCCGGCGCGTTCCGCGCACCACGGAGGGGGCCCAGCGCAGGCGCGGGTCCAAGAACTCCTCGCGAAGCGCCAGAAGGTGAGGCTTATGCAGCTTTTCGTGTTTTCTTTCCCTCGGTGGGGAACGCATCGACCCCCTATTCTCAGGAGGGAAAGAAACACACAGACACAATGAATCGTCGATTCCCCAGAAAAGATGGGAAAATATTGGAAGTGGGGGGAAAACAAAAACCCAGAAAATATAGGAAAATATTGGGAATATTCTTTATTTGTGTGTATTTTTTTGTCCCAGGGCCCCTTCCTATTCCCTACAGTGCTTATCGATCGCCGATGGGGGCTCGAGAGCCCCTCCCGCCCAGGAGCGTGGGGCTGCGTCACCGAGGGCCCGTCGCCGCTCCGTCGGCGACGTGTCGCCGATTCCAGGTCGACGTTGCTCCCCTTGCGCCAGGCCTGACCAGTGTGAAGCCGGGCCTGTCCCCCTACAGGGGGATTGTCGACGAAAGATACAAAATATTCAAAAATGGAGCATTTGGGGGGTATTTTGTTTCGTCGACAATCCCCCTGTAGGGGGACACGGCCGACCTAAAACCAGTGATCCTCTCTTGGCGTTCGGGGCACAGCTCGGGTCCCCGGCGGACGTTCGTGGCGACCTGGGTAGCCCTGGAGCGCCCTCGGCGAGGCGCAGCGGCCGGAGAGCACCCCGGGGCTGGACAAACGCCAGGAAAAAGACGTCCGAAAACGAAGCACATCACCAGCTTCGAACTTATCCCTATCCCTAAGATTCACACGCTGAAATGAGATGACAATCTTAGGGATGCACCCTCAGAAACTGAGGAAATCCCTAAGATCGCCATCGTGATGAGGCGATGCCCAACATAGGGATAGGGATATGTTCCAGGCTGGTAAACACATGCATGCGTGAACCTATCTCGGGACGATCGAAATGGATACGGAGAGAATGGGTTCGATGCCCAACAGCAATTCCTGTTCATTCTGAACAGGAGCTGATGTCCGCGCCGCCGCGGACGTTGTTCACTGAAGGCAGAAAGCCGCCTGCCCAACAGCGGCCGCTGTCGGTTTTGGTCAACATCTGCTGTTAGGCAGTGTACCCATTTCTTCCGTACCCATTTCGGGCGTCCAAGTTGCTGGAGAGCACCCCGAGGCTGGAAAGACGCCAGGAAAAATACGTCAGAAAACGAAACACATGCATCCGTGAACCTATTTCGGACGATCAAAGTGGTTACGGAGAGAATCGGTACGATGCCCAACAGCAGTTTCTGTTCATGTTGAACAGGAGCTGATGTCCGCGCCGCCGCGGACGCTGTTCCCTGAAGGCAGAAAGCCGCCTGCCCAACAGCGAGCAGCTGACGGTTTTGGACAACATTCGCTGTTAGGCATTGTGCCCACTTCTCCCGTACCCATTTCGGGCACTGCACCCCTTTCCGTAATTATTATTTTGTTCCCCCTAACCCATTTCTTCCGCACCCATTCCTTCCGTTCCCATGTCGAGGCTGTAAAAACGCCGGGAACTTGCGTCCGAAAACGAAAGAGATGGCATCTGGACGCCCGATATGGGCACGGAAAGAATGGGCACAATGCCCAACTGCAGTTCCTGCTCATTTTGAACAAGATTCGCTGTCCACGCCGCCGCGGCCCGTGTTCATTTGAGACAGAAGGCCGCCTGCCCAACAGCGGCCGCTGTTGGTTCGGGACAACATTTGCTGTTGGGCATTGTGCCCACTTCTCCCGCACCCATTTCGGGCACTGCACCCATTTCCGTAATTACCTTTTTGTCCCCCCTACCCATTTCTTCCGCACCCATTCCTTCTGTTCCCATTGTCGAGGCTGGAAAAACGCCGGGAGCTTGCGTCCGAAAACGAAAGAGGATGGCATCTGGACGCCCGATATGGGCACGGAAAGAATGGGTACAATGCCCAACAGCAGTTCCTGTTCATTTTGAACAGGATTCGCTGTCCACGCCGCCGCGGCCTGTGTTCATTTGAGACAGAAGGCCGCCTGCCCAACAGCGGCCGCTGTTGGTTCGGGACAACATTTGCTGTTGGGCATTGTGCCCATTCTTTCCGTACCCATTTCGGGCACTGCACCCATGCCCGTAATTACCATTTGGTTTCCCCTGCCCCATTTCTTCCGCAACCATGTGCTTCCGTTCCCATGTCGAGGCTGGAAAAAAGTCGGGAACTTGCGTCCGAAAACGAAAGAGATGGCATCCGGACGCCCGACATGGGCACGGAAAGAATGGGTACAATGCCCAACAGCAGTTCTTGTTCATTTTGAACAGGATTCGCTGTCCACGCCGCCGCGGCCTGTGTTCATTTGAGACAGAAGGCCGCCTGCCCAACAGCGGCCGCTGTTGGTTCGGGACAACATTTGCTGTTGGGCATTGTGCCCATTCTTTCCGCACCCATTTCGGGCACTGCACCCCTTTCCGTAATTACCTCTTTGTCCCCCCTACCCATTTCTTCCGCACCCATTCTTTCCGTTCCCATTGTCGAGGCTGGAAAAACGCCGGGAGTTTGCGTCCGAAAACGAAAGAGGATGGCATCTGGACGCCCGATATGGGCACGGAAAGAATGGGTACAATGCCCAACAGCAGTTCCTGTTCATTTTGAACAGGATTCGCTGTCCACGCCGCCGCGGCCTGCGTTCATTTGAGACAGAAGGCCGCCTGCCCAACAGCGGCCGCTGTTGGTTCGGGACAACATTTGCTGTTGGGCATTGTGCCCATTCTTTCCGTACCCATTTCGGGCACTGCACCCATGCCCGTAATTACCATTTGGTTTCCCCTGCCCCATTTCTTCCGCAACCATGTCCTTCCGTTCCCATTGTCGAGGCTGGAAAAAAGCCGGGAGCCTGCGTCCGAAAACGAAAGAGATGGCATCCGTGGACCCATCCCCCCCCCCGTTGGCGTTGCCCCCCGCACGCCATGGGCCGCAAGAAGACGGGGGACGGCCTCGGCGGCGAACCTGGCGGCGGCTGCGGAGGCCGCGGGCCTGCCCCCCCTCCCCCTTCCCACCTCCTCCTCCTCCTCCCTCCTCCTCCATCCTGCCTCCTCCTCCTCCTCCTCCCTCCTCCCTCCTCCTCCCTCCTCCTCCTCCTCCTCCTCCTCCTCCTCCTCTCTCCTCCTCCTCCTCCCTCCTCCTCCTCCTCCTCCTCCTCCTCCTCCTCCTCCTCCTCCTCCTCCTCCTCCTCCTCCTCCTCCTCCTCCTCCTCCTCCTCCTCTTCCATCCTTATCCGTTATGTGTTCTAGCATACTACGTGGTGCAAACTGACTATAGATCTTGTCGGAGGTTGGGGGGTGAGAT